CAAAATCCATTGAGGAGACATTTGTACTCAAGAGTAAACTTCTCCTTAAACTAAATTCGGGTGTCAAGACAATCTCCGTTTTCATTCATAATGATATTCCTATTTCTGAGTCTCTCATCACCGTTCGGTACATCAATGATGTCTGGATTTCTGGGTCTTCCATTGTTCCCTTTGATCCTTATGATTGTGCCTTTGCCAATATTTTTTTATTTGGGTTCAGTACAACGTGGATTTTTTTGGGAGGTTTCTCTAATTAAATTTTTGGTTAAAAATTTATATTTCCTTTGTATTTTATTTTATTACTTTTTTATTTATTTATACTAATATGTGAATGGAGTAACACAAAATCTGAAATTGTATTTGTTATTTATTTCTTCTTTTAAAATAATCATTATTTTTGTGTTTTACAAAAATTTAGAAAAAATCAAATATAGCGAGATTTTTAATAGGTTAAACAAACACTCTACTCAAGTTGTGATATATATATATATATATATATATATATATATATATATATATATATATATATATATATATGTATATATATATATATATACACACACACACACATATATATTAATTATAAAAATGCTGTAAAATGAACTATGCTTGGTAAAAAAAAAAACCATAGAAACTTGAATGATATGTACAAATCTTGAAGTCAACATACTAACTCTAAGTTTCAGAAAATCTTACAAAATTATCAAAATTACCGTCTTTATCATCCTCGATCGCATCTCTACAATCTTTCATAAAAACTAAACCAATAGGGTTCTGTTACAAATGCTCTTCCTCCTCAATTTCCTTTTGTTGAAGCAGAGCATCCTTAAGTATCTTCAAACTCATACCACATGATATAAACTGCAAAACATATTGAAGTACATGAGAATATAGTTAGAAAAATGTAGAAAATTCATACAAAAAAAAGCAGAGGGATGAGTCTGGGATTCTTTGATTGAAGAAGCCATTGTATTTATAGGTAGAAAATACTAATTCAAAAGGAAAGTATAATAATTTATTTATTTAAGGGAAAGTATAATAATTTATTTATTTAAGGTAATAACATTATTATTATTATTATTTATTTATTTTCCATTTGACATTTACTTACCAAATAAGTTTTACTACAAAAGTTTTGGAGGGAAAATTTGTTAGGAGGATTTTACTTTTATATATATATATATATAGATATAGATTATTATTATTATTACACATATTTATATTAAAAAGAATTATTAATTAATTAAGGTTAGTTCAATAATAATAATATTGAAATTACAGAATTAACTTTCTATTTAACATCAACTTGATGGATTATCAAACGAAGGACTATAATGAACAAAAACACAAAAGTCTGAAATTACATTAGGTCACCAAAGTTGTTTAGGACGAAATTGAGAAAAATAACTTATTTTTAGTATTAACTCTTATATAAAATGTTATTTAATATTTTAGAAATGAAGGGAGAGATAAATCAATTGAATTTACTACTTGTAAGATTTTGGGAGAGAAAAGTCTCTAGGATTTACTTTACAAGAAGCATGGTTGCAAAAATCGCGCCTAGGCGATAGGTGCCCGGACGCCGCCGCGAAGAAGGCCGGATCGTCCTCCTCCACAGCCGGCCGGCTAGGCGGTCTAGGCGGCCACCTAGCCGGCTGAACCGGCGCTTTATTTATTTATTTTTTTTTATTTTTTTGCGTTTTAAATTGCGAAAAGTTCGGGAAGGCATAACTTTTGACTTGGTTGTCCGTTTTGGACAATTTTTTTTTAAATCGCGTATTTTTTCGAGATCTATCCATCACAAACAGTCAAAGGCGGCTTGATCCACTAATTTCTCAAAAAAATACTTCTTTTGCTCTTAATTTTAGTTTTTTTATTGTAACACCCCCCAAAACATGCTATATAAAAAGCCTTAACACATGCAGATAACACAACTAAACACTAGCACAACGGAAGATTAAAAGATAACTGGATAAACGTAAATCTCAGTCATGGGGTGATACGCCACGTTTACCAACAACGGTAAACGCTACGGCAAAAACTGCATGGTTCACAACTATCCCAAAACTCACATGTCTATAACTAAATCGACTCACAGGCCGTAAGACAAACGAAAGGAGCTATACTATCGGCACTAGACATCGCGCTTGTCTAGACATCACGTGAAAGAACACAACAAAAACATGGGACGACGCCCGGTCAGCGAATAATGCTAGTAACCCGCCAATACCTGTTAAGTATCATACATAGATAGGATATATATATACAAAAATCATTTCGAAACGGAATACATAAATATAAGTGTAAAACCAAGAGTAAACACCAACTCAAGACTCATCACTCTCAAAGATAACACGGGAACACATCCCAAGACCACAAAGGACAACAACGACTCAAGGATAAAGACACGACAAATGGCAACACATGCCTAGGCGCACACGCCTTTGTGACTACACACAACCACGGCTACACAAGCCCTCGTGACATCACACATCACGAATTTATATGCCTTCCTTATGCCCTGTTCCAACCTTATGGCTACCCCCAACCTTATATCTAGTTCCAACCTTTACCTCCAGGACCCCTGTACACCAAGTCCAACCTTATTCCCCCGGGAATCATCGTTCCCCCTCTAACAGTCCTCCAACAAAACCACTGATTTCATAGTACACGAGGTACCGTACACACACATGGCAACACATGCCCTGGATAACACATGTTATCCCAGTAATAATCACGTGAACCTTACACAAAGGCCACAGCTCCATAATCACGTCACGGCCACCACGAGGACCGCTGCAATACCTTGGTGACTAGTGTCCCATACCACTAATCGTGCAATCCAGGTAAAGCCACACACGCATCACACCTCAACAAGAATCAATCAACGGATCACAACGAAGGTAGGAAACATACTCAATCAAGGAATGGGTCACAGCCCAACAACAACAACGATGAATAACACAAGTTATCATCAACCAAATGGAAGGTACAAACAACACACACGCTAGCATTTAGACACCAAACTAGCATGCTTATCAAACGGGTAAACCAAAGGTAGTTCTGAGGAACACACAAGACTCACCACGGTTCAACGAAACACAATGTTAAACACTTAGCACGATTCAAGACACCAAAGTCCTACATGGATACCTACTATATAGTTATAGACATACGAAACATCAAGAAGACACTCAAATAGTTCCACAAAGAACATCAGGAAGTCAAAAGACCAAATACCGAGTAAAAAGGATCACGGGGAACAAATCCCCACCATCACCATATCATGTATCCGCGGGTAGGCCTCTACCCGCGGGTAGGCCTCTACCCGCGGGTAGGCCTCTACCCGCGGTTCCGCCCACGGGTACAGGCCGCCCAAGAAGTGTACACCGCGGGTGGGCCTCCTACCCGCCGTTCTGCCCGCGGGTAGTCGAGTACAACCTGTACCACCTCAACACACTTCGCGAATTTTATCTCCAAACTCAAATTCAAGTCCAAAACATACCAAATCTCACCCAATACAACAAAATGACTTGAATCATAGGAAATGCCAAGCAATGACACAAAAGAACCCTAAACACAAGCTCTAGATATGCATTTTCACAAGACAAATGCATAAACACTCACATTTCATAGCAAAACACAAGTAGAATCCAATAAATCACATATAGGTAAGCAAAATAGGTTTTGTAGAGCATGGGTTACCTCTTGTAGACTAAAAGACTTCACTTTACACCTCAACAAGCTCCTCACAAGGCTCACTTTCCAAATCCACTTCAAGAACAAACCAAAAGATCATAAAGATCCTACCTTTAAGAAAAGACACCTAAGATGGAACCAAAAACACAAGATGGACTTAGATCTTACCCTCCTAGATGCCCAAATAGGTGAAAGGTTGAATCTTGAAAGCAACTCTTGAAGTCTTGGCAAGGTCTCAACTTGGCTTGGAGGAAAAGCTACTCACCTTTTTAGAGAGAAGGTAGAGCTAAACTTTTAGAAAGTGTAAGGGATAGAATGAAGATGTCTACTAAGTTAGGTTACAGTACTAACACTATGTGTAAGGTCAAGAATGCCCTTACTAACATTAGGAAATGTAAGGAACAAGGGAACTCCCTTCAAAGCTCAAGGTACAACTTTGACTTTGGGATTGACTAGTCAAATACTAGTCCTCAAGTATTAAATTTCAAGATTTTAAGAATTAATTCCTCAATTGAAATAGGATTAATTACTCAATTAATCCATTAATTGAATTCAGATTTCGGGGTGTCACATTTATGTATTTAGATGGTTTAAACAATCTTTTGAACAGTTTTACAACCACTTTCGTAAATAGTTTCTAAGAAATAACTATGGAAACCTTATGTTTTATTACTAAATTTTAAAAAAATTTAATTTTTAATTTAATTTTTAATTAAAAAAATTAAAAAAATTTTAAAAAAATAAAAAAATCGGCGCCTATGCGCTAAGCGCCCCCTTGCCGCCTAGGGGGCGCCTAACGTTTTTTGCAACATTGACAAGAAGTCGAATTCCTCATCATTAATGGTTTGTGACAAAGCTTTGGCGCTTGGAAACTTTACGGAATTGCAAAAATCGCATAAACACACATTTGTTCATGCATAGTTGCATACATTTTTTTTCCTGAATAATACTAACTCTGTTATATTATAGTCAAAAAATTAATAACCTCCTATTTGTAAGAGTCACTTCGTACCCATCCATGGATGCATCTATTAGTACTCCGTAGAATTTATTTTTATTTTTTAAATAATATTAGCAGGACAAGTTAGTGAAGTGAGTAGGCTGTCACGGTAATGAAGAGTGGACATAATGACACACTTTGCAAAATTGGACCCCACATCTGATTCGGAGCCACGCTGTAAACCCATCATTTTGCTTGCCTTTCACTGCATATGGACAGAAGATTAGACTTGCACTTAGATTCGGAATCCAGAATTCATGGGGCCCAATGTTAATTTCACTAAAATATCGAGGCCAAAATGTAACCTCTCAACCGCTACGCGGAGAGCTCTGTTCCCTCCTCCCTCCTCCGCGTTCCCTATAAATTCCTGTTCAATCCCTTCCCAACTCTCGAACATCTCCCAGGAGGACCCAAGCAACTGCAAAGATCACATTCTCCTCGTAACAGTAAGTTTGGTTTACAGCTCCGATGTGATTGTGATTGTGATTAATGATTAATGATTATACACACAAACATCACGCATTCTGCTTTTGTTCATCACTTGCCCGGTAGTTGTCGGCTCACTCTGCTTAATCTCAATGTGATTGCATCTTATTTGATCTCACTACTCTGTTTTCTTATAATGTGTGATCGTCTGACACGAAATGATGGAGTTAATTTATCTATTTTAGTGAATATTATACATTTAAATGGCTCAGGAAGATTTGGGTTTTAGTGTTGATGAAGATCTTGAATCTGAATAGTATAATACTGTGAATGCGACAAGTCAAATTAGTACTCTGTAGTTTTTACTATCTTATCTAGTCTAAATTTATCACGAGGCATTAGTGTTGTTATTGGTTAATTTGGTTTAATCCCCCCATTGTGCTCGGGCATGGAGACCTCGGATCGGATTTTGGAATGTGTACTAAGATGCTGATGGCTTACCAATTCATTTTGTTTTGGAGAGAGGGAAGATCCTCATTTGTAATCAGCTCAAGATTTATGAACTCAGATGATATGGACTCAGGACTCAGGAGTTATTATTAGGATTATCAGTGATGTTTTTTCCTACTGCATTCGATGCATATGAACAATTGAAGATCCTCTTTTTTAATCACCTCAAGATGTTTGAACTCAGATGCTACGGACTCTGGAGTAATTAGGATTATCAGTGATGTTTTCCTACTGCATTTGATGCATATGAACAAATATGATTTAGGACGATCACATTTCTCATCAGCTCTCAGGACTGAAGATGTTTAATTCGATTATAGATTATAGATGTATAACTAAAATTCTTTTTAGTTTATCAGATTTTGTTCACTTGGATTCGAACAAGATCATATATATGATATATCACTTAAAATTGAGTGAGCTAATATGTCACTGAGCATGGAATCATTCAGTCAGGACTGAGATAATCAACTTCACTTTATAGTTTGTAAAATTTGAGATGGGATTTGTTTTTAAGTCTGTATAGGGGAGGGGTTCTTTGAGGTAATGGACCTGCTCTCAACCTACAGAAAACCACTTATTTATTTTTAAAGGTAATGACTTTACCTTTCATCTATACACTTACCTTGGCTTGACCCTGGATGGATGCATGCTTGGATTTTCTATAAATGATAGTAACTGCAAAAGTTGATATCATATTTGTTACCACCATTGTAATGTTACACTGTATTTCCATATGTCTATGAGATTTATTCCTTCCATCAATTACTTCTATTCTCTAGGTAAATTATCAATGGGTTCACAACCAGTAGAAGATTTTATAGAGGCTTCGCCTGGAGTTCATTATTCAGGATTCCATATGGAGGGGCCAAATTCTTCAGACATTGAGAAACCAACGACTTCAACGGGTGTAAATGTGCTTAAACAGCCCTTTGTGATTGGTATGTTAGCCACAGAATTAGAATTCTTTCTTCCATGAAGATATTTCTGGACTCAATTCAGATTTTAGGCCATCACCCATTCACAATTTAGCCTAGGGATGTAAAAAAAGAAAAAGAAAAAAACAGTAGAACTGCATTGTAATTGCCCAACAAACAGCTGTTTTTAACAATTCTAAATAATGTATTATACTGCAAGATACTAGGCAGGAATGGTTTTAAAAAATAATTAAATCCAAAAAAATGAACAGCTCATTATTTATACACACAATGCAATGCCTATGTACATATGTACCTAAATATACAAATAAATGTGTTGATTGATTACATGATACTTTTCTTTTTCCTAGTTAAATTGAAGTGAACTTTTTTTGGGTTAAATTCATATTATATTATATTTTTTCATTTATATTAATTTTTTTTGTGCACTTATAAAATTTTCTATAAAGAAATATGTGCTATATTGCAAACTAAGATTGGTGATTATGAATGAAGTTTAATTTGCATTTCAACTAGTAACTATTAGTAAGTTGTTGTCTTAATAAAGAAGTGTTTAAAATTATAACAAGTAATTTATTTAACGATTAAATAAAATAATTTTAAAAATATTGTAACAGCCCAAACTGTTCTCAAAACAAGCTAAATTGCAATATTTAACTTTTTACAAAAAACTCTAGCTTGGGCCAGTTATAAACATTATTAAAACCTCCCAAAATCACTCATGAACACTCCTGGTGTTGCAATAGAAAATACAAATATGGTTATCTATTATATTCACTATGAAATTGTATCTGTCTTTTTGGGTGTTTGTACACATTCTTTGTTTGATAATGTTCAGAAGAATGCCCTGTGATGAGTTTTGAAACTAAAGAAGAATCATCTTTCTAAAGGCTGGAATAGTTCATTCAAATGTGTCAGATCTTGACACAATATAAAGTACATTTGAAGTTTTGAACAACAAACCACTTTGATTGCTTGTTTTTGTTTTTTTTTTGTCTCTCTCTCTCTCTCTCTCTCTCTCTCTCTCTCTCTCTCTCTCTCTCTCTCTCTTTTAATAATACTTTCTGAAGTAAATGCCCATCTGACTTGTAATAACTATCCTACTTGAAATCTATAACAAACCCCATTCCCTTCCACTATATGTTTCTGCTTCGTGAATGCTCTAATCAAATGCCCAAACTATAGGAGTTGCTGGAGGTGCTGCATCTGGAAAGACCACAGTTTGTGATTTGATTATTGAGCAGCTTCGTGATCAGCGTGTAATCCTAGTTAACCAGGTTTCTCCTGTTTTCAGACAGAAACATAACAAATTTTATTTCTGCAATCATTTAAAGGTTCATGCTGATTTCTTATGTTTGTTTCTGATTAACAGGATTCTTTCTACCATAATTTGACACCTGAGGAACTAACAAAAGTTCATGAATACAACTTTGATCATCCTGGTTAGTATAAACTCCTTTTTAGTTTTTCTCTTTCCTCTTTTCTTTTCTTTATTGATATTGTATATTATATTTTTTATTTAATCCTTTTGTGCAGATGCATTTGACACTGAGCAATTATTGTCTGTCATGGATAAACTGAAGCATGGGCAAGCAGTAGACATCCCAAAATATGACTTCAAGTGTTACAAGAACAATGTATTTCCATCTCGAAGGGTAATCTATCCAAAGTCTCATATACAATTTTTTCAGCTTTCTCTATTAATGAAGCGTTCATTTTTAGCACACAACTCAATTCATGGGCGCTGTGGGTTGGTTGCTTAAGAATGCATCAAATTATCTTATTTCTGCTGTATACTTTCTTACATACATATAATGTTACTTTACTCCCCTTTATCCCTTTGCCATCCTGATTTAGACTTCGAAAAGCAAACATGTTGGTGCCCCTGATTCTGATAGATACCCCTGCTTAGTGACTAAATTACTTGGTGACACAAGTAAAATCTCAATCATGTTACCTTACTAGATGAAACAATGTTTTGCCTTCAACCCTCCATTAGGAGTAACAACTAATATATCTGTGATTTTCTTTTTCTTTTTTAATTCTCTAATTAATTTCCCACTTTTTTATTCAACATTTGCCAGGTAAATCCTTCAGATGTCATAATTTTAGAAGGCATTCTTATTTTTCATGATCCTCGTGTGCGAGATCTAATGAATATGAAGATATTTGTAGATACAGGTTCTTTCCTTTTCTTTCTATGATTGTTTGACTTGAACTTTCTAGTTTAATGTAATGTGTCTGCTTATAACTTTTCTGTGTTTAGTACTTTTGTTGCGCCCTTTGTCTGACTTAATCATATAGAAGTAATGTACAAAAGGCTGCTACATTGTTTGTCAACCCAGAAAACTGTTTATCTATGAAGTTTTGATATTTCAATCATATTGTTTTGTCTAAACTTCCTAGAGGCATCATGGAGAACTTTTTATACAACTTCACTTGCCTTAAGCTGATATGTCAAACATAGTGATCCAGAGGAGATTTAGACAAAGCTCTGGAATCTGTGAACTGTTCATCCACCACATAACATCTTTATTATTCAGGAAAACTTGCTTGAGGAATAAAGAGAATCACTGTAATCCTTGCTATTAGATAACATATTCATTGGTTTGGTTAACTGCCTGAAACTTCTAGTATATCATATCATATTTGTTAGAATTCTTGCCAATTTTCCCACATAGGATTGGCGCATTTAATTGCCATCCATGAGTCTACTGTATATTTCTCTTATTCTCACCCCGGTCCTTCCTGGATGACCTTGTTTTGTTACCTTCTTTATGTGGCTGGTCTCCTGTGCTTTACGGGTTTCACAATCTCAGAGTTTTCAGTGCAGATGCTGATGTACGTCTTGCCAGGAGAATAAGACGTGACACAGTTGAAAAGGGTAGAGATATTGCTACAGTACTTGACCAGGTTAGAACAATGTGGCTTTTTAAAATGATCTATATAGTCCCACTGCCTTGAAGATAATGATTTTTCTATGAAGCTTTTACTCTCATCTAAATATTTACATTCTGAGCAATTAACATCGTGTTTATCAATGATTGGCTTTAATCTTCATACAGTACTCAAAGTTTGTCAAAAGAGCTTTTGATGATTTCATTCTTCCAACAAAGAAGTATGCTGACATAATCATTCCTCGTGGTGGAGACAATCATGTTGCTGTTGACTTGATTGTGCAACACATTAGGACAAAACTTGGTCAACATGATCTATGTAAAATATATCCTAATCTTTATGTCATTCAATCAACTTTTCAGGTACCATCTTTGTCTGTTCTAATTCAGATAACATCCTACAACTCTACACGTTTGCTCTTTATTTTATTCATTAAACCCAAAGTTGAGTCTGTGATTTTACCGAAAGTTATTTCTTTTCTTTTAGATACGAGGCATGCACACGCTTGTCCGTGATTCCAAAACAACAAAACATGATTTTGTATTTTATGCTGATCGGCTGATCCGTTTGGTAGGTTTTGGGATTGCAAACTCGTTTCATTTGGTAGTGAAATTCTGAGTATTTGCTGTCATAACTCACTGATATCACTCTTCTACTTAATAATTACAATCTAATGTTTAAACCAGGTAGTTGAACATGGTCTTGGGCATCTTCCATTTACTGAAAAGCAGGTGATCACTCCAACTGGTAAGGCTCTACCAGTTAATGAAAAGCAGATGCTGTTTAAGTACTGTTTCTTAATGCCTTTTTTTCTGAGTGCAGGATCTGTGTACTCTGGTGTTGATTTCTGTAAGAGATTATGTGGAGTTTCTGTAATTCGAAGGTAACTTCACAGTGTTTTTATCAAGATTACACTTTTTAGAGCCTTAAGCACAAAGGGAAACCTACTGTAATCAATTTGGATTTTGTTGCAAGCAATTAGCACCCTTTTTAGACTGGACTTGTCTGTCATAGGATTGTTAATTGTATATGTAACTAAAGATATTAAAATTGAACAGTGGTGAGAGTATGGAAAATGCATTGCGAGCATGTTGTAAGGGTATAAAGATTGGGAAGATCCTTATTCACAGAGAGGGTGACAATGGTCAGCAGGTAAGGCAGGCAGCTGCTTTGGCATGTTGATTTGTTTTAGTGTTAGTTTAACTTTGTGACACAATGATTAACGCCATATATGTTCAGCTTATCTATGAAAAACTCCCGGAAGACATTGCAGAGAGGCACGTCTTGCTGTTGGATCCTATCCTAGGCACAGGTTAACTTTTTGGCCTTCCCAGATTTTTAAGATTAGAGATGAAGGAAGATTTGTGTGCACAAAGCATGGCAGCCATATATGTCTTGGTCTTGTGGGATGCGCATTTATGTATGTTGAAATAATAATTTATAATTATTGGTGCAGGGAATTCAGCCGTGGAAGCTATTTCTTTGTTGCTAAAGAAAGGTGTACCTGAGTCCAACATTTTATTCCTAAATCTTATATCGGTAAGTGGGTATCTAGATAGGTGTCCTATAAGGAGTTAGATAGCGTTTAAGCTAAGAGTTTATTTTGGAAACATAACCAAACAGAGTTTATAGCTTATTAGTAGCTCAAAATAAGTTATAAGTTCTTAAATAAGCTCTGCTAACAATAGACTATATTACATCCATGCAAATAACTCTGATCTTATGCCTGCCTATTTTAATTTGCAGGCACCCCAAGGAGTACATATGGTGTGCAAACGTTTCCCAAGAATAAAGATCGTAACATCCGAAATTGAAATGGGTCTGAATAAAGACTTCCGTGTGATTCCTGGCATGGGGGAGTTTGGGGATCGTTATTTCGGCACCGACGAAGATTAAACACGGAGACCTGACCTCAGCCCAGCCTTCCCACCGATTATACCACAAATTCTTTCAGTTTCTCAATGACGGACCGGAGTACCCAACCCTCCTATAAAAATCTATAATTTTGCTGTTTTATTTTATTTTATCTTTTCTCATTGAGTCACCCCCTCCAATTCTTTTTGAAATATAAAAAGAAATAAACAACAAACAAGCATCACGGAAGCACTGTATTTTTAATTTCTTAAATTAAACATCACTATTTTTCCCACTTTATCCTTTACATATTTTACTAATATTCACTTTATTAATTTAAATACTAACTATTCATTTTTACTTTTTCTGATCTAGTTTATCCTTTATGCTGGTTGGTTAAAATTGATCTGACACTACTGATTATATATTAACAAGTTTCAGTTAATATAAACTTACAAACACAAAATTAGAAGGGTAAAGTAAATAACAAGTTATTTATTTTCTTAATATCCCTGACAAACATAGCTATATATCCTTTATAGATTAGAATAGATTGAGAAAATATTGTTCACCAAAAAAAATGATCTACATATATATTTTTTCTAATTAAGAACAGTGTGTGAAATATTTGTCTGATTGGAGAAAGGCCAGAAAGGTGCCATTTGGCATTGAGATCAGAGTGGTCACTCGTTCCTGAAACCCAGGACGATAATCTTTGTTGGGCTACTCTTTTAACACGTGTCGCGTAAATTGCTCGACGGGATAATATGGGAATATCCGCAGAAAGTGGTGTATATTGCATGCATATTGTCTTCCAGTTTTCGTTGACTCCCTTTTATAATCCCTTCTTCCATTATCCTCCATATCAACAACCTATACTAGCCATGTCTGCCTTTGTAGGAAAATATGCTGGTAAACACACTCTCTTTTCCTTTTCTCACTCATATGAATCTGTTTATTGAACATATAATATATATAAACATAAATGTGCAATCCAACCATCAGCTTAAACTTTTAGTTGAGATGAAGCACATGCTTCAATTTGATATCATACACCCGATAAAAAAGAGATTATGGTCCACATTCAAATTTTTAGAAGAATCTTATTATGCTCTAGAACTAGAATTCCGTTTAAGAGCAGAGGATTTTTATGCATTATTAATATTATCTAAATGTGGTTGCAGATGAGCTCATCAAGACTGCAAAGTACATTGCGACGCCGGGGAAGGGCATCCTCGCCGCCGACGAGAGTACAGGCACCATTGGCAAGCGCTTATCAAGCATCAACGTGGAAAACATAGAGTCCAATCGCCAGGCTCTCCGGGAGCTCCTCTTTACTTCACCCAACGCCCTCCCCTACCTCTCCGGCGTCATTCTGTTCGAGGAAACCCTGTACCAGAACACCTCCGACGGCAAGCCCTTCGTGGAAGTCCTCCAAGAGAACAATGTGGTTCCGGGCATCAAGGTGGACAAGGGGACGGTGGAGTTGGCGGGGACCAACGGCGAAACCACCACGCAAGGGTTCGACTCTCTGGGGGCGCGGTGCCAGCAGTACTACAAGGCGGGTGCGCGGTTCGCCAAGTGGAGAGCCGTCCTGAAAATTGGGGAGACGGAGCCGTCGGAGTTATCGATCCAGCAGAACGCTCAGGGGTTGGCTCGCTATGCCATAATCTGTCAGGAGAATGGGCTGGTTCCGATTGTTGAGCCGGAGGTGCTCACCGACGGGAGTCATGACATCAAGAAATGCGCCGCCGTTACTGAGACTGTTCTCGCTGCTGTTTATAAGGCACTCAATGACCACCATGTCCTCCTTGAAGGAACTCTCTTGAAGCCTAACATGGTCACCCCTGGCTCTGCTAGCCCAAAGGTATCACTTTCATTCTTATCTTATCTAATTTAATTATTAATTTTTTCAGATGACAAAGAAACACATAGTTTCTACTTAAGGATATGCACTAAGAGATCATAAAGCAGTCTAGATTATCCATAATTGACGAGCTCAAACCAAGAAAGACAATCTCCAACCCTTTAGGTCTCCCCTAACACCAGCTTACTCATGCCGTATATCACTTGTTAGAATCAAGCGCTTACCATACGTTAAAAGTTATAGCTAGTAACGAAGACATAACTTTTTTTTTTATACTTGCATAGTTGTCAATGCCACATTTTCCTAAGACAGGGTGTTAGCTAGGCTTGGCTTTGTATTACAATTCCCTAGTCATGTGGTGCGATTCTAATTTTACAGTTGAACTTGTAATTTTATGATTACCACGTTGACAATCTGACCAACTTGGAATGGTGGGATTAGTTAAAATTTAATTATTAATTGATTGATGAATATATAGGTTGCAGCAGAAGTGATTGCTGAGTACACGGTAACAGCGTTGAGGCGGACAGTTCCACCGGCGGTGCCGGGCATCGTGTTCCTGTCGGGGGGACAGAGCGAGGAGGAGGCGACGGTGAATCTAAATGCGATGAACAAGCTGGATGTGTTGAAGCCATGGACACTGTCCTTCTCCTTCGGGCGAGCTCTGCAACAGACCACACTGAAGACATGGGGTGGGAAAAAGGAGAATGTTGGGAAGGCGCAAGAGGCGTTCTTGGTGAGGTGCAAGGCCAATTCCGACGCCACCATTGGCAAATACACTGGTGGAACCGCTGCCGGCGCCGCCACTGAGAGTTTGTTCGTCTCGGGATACAAGTATTAATTAGCCGCCGCCGTCACCATGCTCATATGTATGTATATGTTGCGTAGATTATACTTGTTGACTTGTTCTGTGCGTGAAGGGGTTGATAATTGTGCACGTCTATTGATTTACAGTTTTACATTATAAAATCTAATTTATTTTTGCTTTCTTTTACAACATGTTTGGTTCCGGAAATATACTTAAAATGGGATGATATTCGTTTTTTAATGTATTATGATCACAGAGATATTGTTTTCGAAAGTATAGATGTGCAAACTTAGGTAAAAGTTCAGTTAATCGATCAAATCGAATAATTTAGGTTAACCGTTTTTTAATCGAAATACTTCGATTTAATTAATGGTTAAAAGTTCTATAAAATTTCAATTAACCGTTAATTCAGTTCGAACCTATTGATTAACCAAATTAACTGATGGGTTAACTGAAATTCTCTCTCTCTCTCTCTCTCTCTCTCTCTCTCTCTATATATATATATATATATATATATATATATATATATATATATATATATATATTGGTTAACTATTATTTATCCTTACACTTTATAAATTTATGATTTTATATTTTTAGTGTTGTTATTGTATTATTTTTGTATATTTACTTATAGATTTAGTATTATAGGTATTGATGTAATTGGTAATGTTTATTTTTATTTATAACTAATATTTTTATCGGTGTGTTGTATGTAATGGATTTGTTATAATACTTTAAGAATATTTGGATCGATATACAAATATAAATTATAACAACGAATATTATATAGTGCAGTTGATAAAATGTTGTATCGATTATGTTTTTTTTTTATGTTATCCTTGCTTGAATTCGAGCAAATAATAGCCTAATTACCCGTGCGATGCACGTGCACGAATAATTTTTTTATATATATTTAAATAATAAAATTAAAGATAAAATTATAAATTCTGTAGTTGGTGAGGCTGTATTTGCATGCCTGTGTTACAACACATACATATATAGTCTATCCTCTCCTCTGAGTTATTCATTGTATTGCTTAAAAATATTCATTGATCAATGGGGATTGATTCATCATCTGTTCCGGGGAAAATGAAGAACAAGATGGTGGAGATGGCCAAGAATGCAGAGAAAATTGGGAGGAACAACCCAAGAAGAATCGTGCATATATTCGGCTAAAGTGGGAGCAGCTCTTACACTTAATTCTTTGTTATACTATTACGATCCTCTATGATGGATTTGGGTAATCTGAAATCTGGGCTCTTACACTGTTGGTCAGTTTCATTGTTGTTTCAACCTTCATTCCTATATATATGCTTCAGAAACAAACATATTATAATTCTTGGTTTTTGAATTTACCCTTTAATTTATCTTAGGTGCCACCTTATCCAAAGGCCTGAACAGGGCTTTTGCTACTCTCTTAGCAGCTGCCATGGGTGTTGGAGACTTATTAAGATCACTAGTATTTTCACTCTTGGGATTTGTTATAATACTTTAAGAAGATTTGGATTAATATACAAATATAAATTATAACAACGAATATTATATAGTGCAGTCGATGAAATGAGTTGTATTGATTATGTTTTCTGATGTTTTTCTTGCTTGAATTCGAGCAAATAATTGTTCAATTATTCGTGCAATGCACGTGCGATGCGTGTGCAATGTGCGTGCGATGTATAAATAAATTTTTTATTATATATTTAGATATATTATGCTACATGTGATCTCAATTTGAAGTAAGACTAAACATGGTTCATGCTCCAAAAATCACACATTAGCTATCAAATTCTTCTTCCATTGTAACTTAATTTTTCCTTACTGCTTGAAAATTCTTTTATCTAACATTTGGATTTATTACTTTATTTTATTCAATTGCCTTCAAGTTTTAATCAAATTACAAGCATATCAACCTTCTAGGTACTTTAACCAAATATAATAGATTTAAAAAATCATTAGCTAACACTCTAAATGACACGACATAAAAAGTCCAAATTGTTTCAATTCACTAATGAAGCAACTGTAACCAAAGACACACATGACAAGGGTGCAAAATATTAAAGAGGTGACAAAATAAAAATTGTATTTTGAAATAAGGACACAAAATAATAGATAAAGATAGGAATGTGCAAGAAACTTGACTGGATGGAAAGTTATGAAGTTAGTACTTAGGGCTCGTTTGGTTCGTGGAAAATATTTTAAGGGAAGTGGAATTGAAATTCCATAGAAAAACAATTACTAGGAAGATGAATTTTCATTGTTTGGTTGGTGGAAAAAGAATTACTGGGAATACTAATTCTATTGTTTAATTAAATTTAGAATGGTAAGAAATAACGAATATAAAGACCTATATGCCCCTACAAATTGACCATGTTTCTTAGCTTTATATTTGGATTTCCGTTTCCCTTTTTTTTTCACCTGTCAACTGCACTTGACCATGTTCCTTCGCCTTATTCTTGGATTTCTGTTTCAATTGTTTTTCACCTGTCGGCTGCACAATTTCACCTATCGATTAACTGACTTAACTGATCAATTAACCGAAATTATATATATATATATATATATATATATATATATATATATATATATATTTGGTTAACTATTATTTATACTTATACTTTTTAAATTTGTACTTTTATATTTTTAGTGCTGTTATTGTATTATTTTTGTACATTTTATTATAAATTTAGTATTATAGGTATTGATGTAATTTGTAATGTTAATTTTTATTTATAATTTTAAAGATTTAAGAATTTTAGCTAAAGAAACTTCGGTAATCGGTTAACCGAAAAAAAATTTGGTTTGATCACCTTGGTAAGGAAAAATTGTAATTTATGCCCCCCATAATATGATAATGGTGAGAATGTGATTAATAGTGATATGTAGTCAAAAAGATGATAAATGATTATGTTTTCCATTTAGAAAACAAATTTTCAAAGTTCTCAAGTTTTCTAAAAATGTTTTCAGTTTTCAGTTTTCAAAATGAAAAATTGTGCTAGTGAACATGTTTTTTGTTTTTGTTTTTGTTTTTGTTTTTTTTTTGTTCCCCACCCAATTCTCAAGTTTAATTTTCCAGAAAACTAGAGAAAAATGTTCAGTTAGTAAACGGACTCTAAATATCTAATTATGTTTTAAGTTTTTATGGTTTTGACTTATAATGTGGATAAACAATTGGTGTGTGTGTGTTTTTTCTTTGGGACTAGCTTTATATTTTCACTTTGATATTAGATGCTACTTTTGGAATTATTTGTATTATTTTTATATTTTCACCATCGAATCCTTAGTAGGGAGGAATGAAGAAGGCTAAATGCAAAAGTAAAAGAGACGATAAAGTGGGTGGTTGCGAAGAGCTTCAATTCTTGAATGCCACTTGCTGATATTCTACCAACATAATTTAGAAATAATAAATTCCAAATTAAATTAATGGTGTTGATTAACAAGGAATGGAAAACATGACATGACCTGATGGATCCTTTAATGCAAGGATATATAAATTAAAAAATCATTCCTTAAACCACTACGTACGCCACTTTTCTTTAATTGGGTGAACTAAATTTATATTTCCTACAAAAGCGGAAGGGATTTACAAAGGCAATGAAAGAAATCGTGTTAATTGAGGGAGTTATTAACTTAATTATACGGAGTATTAAATGTTGACATGAAAGGGAAACTAATCCCCTTTGCGGCCAGTCATGTGAGGTTATGTTCAAAGTGACTGATCTTTTGTGCCTATAGATATTCTTTTTTGAATAATTTTTTATATTTACATGTGACGTATTTAAATCATGATATTGAAAATTTGGATAAAAATCATAATACAAATCATGTCTCTGACTATACAATAAAAACTAGCTCATTATTAGTGTAAATTTGATTCAAATCTTATATTTTAACATGAATTTCTTTAATAACATATGTGGGACCATAAGCTATATAAAGCCATATAAATGGGAAATGCAATTGTTGGGTGAATGCAATATTGTGGTGCATGTTGTGCAACTAGTTTTCATTTAATATTGGAAGTGCTTTGAGTTAGATCAACTTAGGTTAATTAGCCTCTCATGACATTTTTTAAATTGCCTTTTGTTCACTTTGAATATGCTCATGTCTTTCATAATTGTATAAACAATACTTGGTCACAGTAGTGAAGTTTGGGAACAATGACTCGGGATCGAGTCTCACCGTGTGGATCCTTTGTCGGTCGGGACGTGGGGGCTCTTGGAGCTAGAGATTCAACCTTTTGAGAACAATAATGGTAAACAACATTATTAGCACCAACCTAGGAGTTCTATTGCTGTTTGATTTTGTGAGCTCTGTAGCTACAAACATTATTAATTCCTCCTATCATCTCTCTACTTTCAGTATACCTAGCTACCTCCTCTTTTGTCATGGTATATTCTACTTATCTGCTTTATTTGTATGGAGAATCAGTACCAGCAGTCCAGCAGATCTAAGTTGAATCTGGACATACATTGGAATATCTTTTTTTCTTACTTTTAATACATTAGGTTTTCTAGTTTACCATAGACTAATCCAAAGCCCTCAGATCAAAGTCGCTGAAAGAGGTAAATCGCAATTTGTCTAAGCAATTTCAATTCACAGTCAGTCAGTCCCTGTCGTCTTCTAAGAAGGCCTAACTCCAAGATGCTGTTGGTGGATATCAAACCTCCACCCGCCTGGTGAATTTAATTCAGGTCAGGTGGTCTACCACTTAAGTTAGCCCCACGAGGCTAGGATATCTTATTTTGAAACTTAGTGCCCAGGAAAAAACCAAATCTATCAGAGAACAAAAGGAGAAATTCACAAAGAATTAAATCACATATATTGCAAGCTTTAATTTACCAAAAGATTAAAGCTGCTAGCTAGCTTGTGATTTATGCTATGAATTGAAGTATCCATCCATCCAATTAGTATCCACAATCTCTTTTGTGATCTGAGTTGCTACTGTACACATAGAGTGCCAAAGACACAAACATCATACACCCAAAATTTGCAAAGGCTACACCAAATTACAAACACAATAACTGTCTGTATATATGTCTCTCATCATCATCTTCCTTAATTTTCACCTCTTTGTTTTGCAGGTGTGGGTGATAAGAACACCATTTGGTGGACCTGTCATCTCTACTTGGCATCTCCCATGCAACCAATAAGAATAATGAAACAGCCCTATATCAAACCTCACCTTAAAACTTCCTCTTATGTTGTACACAATTCTGTTGCTTAGCACTTGCCTTTGAAGCCCCAAAGCATGATTTGGTGGCAGGTAAACCAAGCTTGATATCAGGTGAACTGGGATCAATTTCACTTCTCCTTCTCTCTGACTGAACGGTTGAAGAATTTGGGTGGCTATCAAACTGTCAGAGAAAAACAGTTCAACTTCCAAACTCTCGAACCTGACGTTTAGTCTCCGATTTGGGTTGGAAAAATTAGCGATAAACGAGAATTCCCCGTTCAGGAACTGCAGAGAGTTCAAGTAGACAAAATTTAGGCTCGCCGCCGGCGTATCGAACGCCGGGGTTCTTGGTTTTACGGCGAGGAAGATGATCAAAGTTGCCACCCCAAAGATGATCAAAAACAGGCTAAAGATCAAACACACGATTGCGCCACACCATACCATTGGGTTGGTCTTCCTGCGAGGTGGTCTTAGAACCACTGGGTATTGTTCTGGTTTATTCTGCCTGTTCCACCATGGATTCTCCGGCGCCGATGAAGTTGGGAGCTTGGATTCTTGATTTTCCGGGGATGGGATGGTCGGAAGCCTTTGTTTCCGAGATGGTGGGAGTGGGGGTGGGGTTGGGGGTATGGGAAGCATCCTGGGAGAAGAGTATTCGGGAGAAAAGAAACTCAAATTCTCAGAGGAAGTCATGGATGGATGGATGGGTGTTGAGGGGATTGAAGAAGGGGGATGGAGAAGATCAGAGGAATCTTGGATGAATAATAATAATAATAATTATATGTACAATATTATACTGATTAAGGAAAGGTGCAGAGAAAAAAAAAATGCTTTTATTGATATGTGCTGCAATATAATGGGGCCAGTAGCCCTTATAAAATTTTGGCAGAGGCTTTAGCACTGGCAAGTAAAGTTGATAGAATGTAAGATGTCTAGTTTTGAATTGTTGCTTTAATTTGCATTGCTATTTCTTACAAATATTCAATCATTATATATATATATATATATATATATATATATATATATATATATATATATATATATATAGGGAGGGATTCATGTGCGGGTATAGCTTCCTGTGCTGTTGTGCGGTTAGATCTGAGCCGTTGATCAAATTTAGATCAATGGCTCAAATCAATGAGAATTTAAAAAAAAAAAAACGCGTGTCTGGAAGAAAGAAGCATAAGCTAAAAATGGCACACCTTGAGTTAGAAACATGCACCTTAAGTGTTAGATCTTAAGCACAAACTCACGCACATTAAGCACAAAACTCACACACATTAAGCACAACCACACGCACATTAAGCACAAAACTCACACACTTTAAATATTAACCCACAGACTTTAAGTTTCAACAACTACTGACATTAAGCACAAACTCACGCACATTAAGTACAAACTCACGTACATTAAGCACAACCTCACGCACATTAAGCACAAAATCCACGCACTTTAAGTATTAACTCACAAACTTTAAGTTTTAACAATTAATCACGTTAAGCACAACTCTACGCACATTAAGCACAAACCTCACGCACCTTACGCACAAAATTCACGCATCTTATATACAAAACTCACGCACATTAATTACAAATCCGCTCACCTTAATTTTGACCTAGATGCAAAAATTACAAAATTGTCACCGTGTTTTTTTTTTATTTAAATTTTGATAATCCTGGACGTTGATTTAAGCGAGATGAATGACCCAGATTAAACCGCACAACCGTACCTGGGCAACCTAACCGTACCAGAACCTAATTATATATATATATATATATATATATATATATATATATATATATATATATATATATATATATATATATATTGTATGTATATGTATATGTATGTATAGGCATGTTATCTATGTATAATATTAATAAAGCTAAGGGAAAATATTTTTTTTGTCCGAATTATTCACGATTAGTCATTTTTATTCCCGCCATTAAAAATTAAAAATTATAAAATATACCTTCAATTTTGTATGATTGTGCTGATTTTGGTTCACGATCGACAAATGAAAATAAACATAAGACAGCATTAATGTTTAAATATTTGTGTGACCATCCTTAGGTTTTTGTTTGTAGATGGACTAAAACTACCACAATATTGCAAAATTTATAGTGCGTTCAGCAATTTTAATAATTATTAGGGATAAGAACAATTTTTTCCCAAAAAATAATATAGCCTAAGGTAAAATTAATCAAACATTATGGACTAAATGAATACTTTGGGATTTTGAAATCTAACACACACCAAAAAAAAAAAAAAAAAAAAAAAAGGAGTGGGGATAAGTGGCCCCAGCAATGGGCATTCTTTTGCTGAGCTTCTCTGCCTTTACCACCTTTTGATGAAGTTGTAATCCTTAGACTTTGACCTGTCAAATGTAAAGATGGTCGACACAATCAACGGCGTAGGTTTGTTACAACATTAACTATGTTACTAATACTAATACTAATAATGGTGGCTGCTCGATGCTTAGTATCATATCCTTCTTGATCGATTCTTACCCATTAAGAAAATAAAGTAGCAGAGAAAAGTGGTTCAAAACCATGTGGTTAAGATATCGTGCTTTCTTTTCTTTTCTGTGTTCCAAATGAACACCTACTTCAATAATTCTATTACAGACGACATGTACGTAGCCAAAGTGGCTTCTGCTTTATACGGCATGCAGTTCACGAATACTATCTGTTCTTCGCTTTTATTTTTCTTTTCTTTCTTTGACTCGATTTATTTTGCCTCCTTTTGGTTAATCCAGCTAAAATATTGGTTTAATCTTTATATTATGTTTTTTATTATTAATTAATTAATCACATGGATGCTTTTTTGTTAATCACCCATTGATTGAAAATCATAAATACATCCCGCAACCTCGCTCTCTAAACAAAGTTTTCGACCATTTTCAATGGTGATCGGTATTTCAGACTAGCTACTTTTAATGAGGTAATTGGAAATAAGAATCATGCATGATTTTTATGTATGGATACCCAAAATGATGGAAGTTGGTAGAAATTAAATTACCATTTTCAACGAGAAATTCTAATTTTTTTTACCGTTCTTAAGTGGTTAGAAAATGTGAGATGTCTAGTTGTGTAGTTAAACATGAATGCTTATTTGATTACTTTTTTGTTAATAATAATGGTCTCTTAACTCGGGAACTAAATTGATAGCTTATATTTTTAAATTAACACAATAGAGGTTGATTTTTTTTTTTTGGGGGGTGGGGGGGGGGGGGGGGTGGGGATTGTTTCAAATTCAAAAATCAAATATGTTTTCAACAAATAGGTTAAATGGAATGAATTCATAACATCCTACGCGGCTTTGGGGATGCTATTGAGGATTGTGGGCTTGTCCAAATGTCGATGGATGGATACCCGTATACATGGGAAAAGGGGAAGGGGATGGTTAATTGGCTTGAGGAGAGGCTTGACAAGGTCTTAGTAACTGAGGAATGGCGCAACATAGTTGAGAGGGCCAGGGTGTCAAATTTGAGAACTCGAAAATCTGATCATTCGATTCTCTTTCTGGGAATTCATGAGTCCTTAGGGAGGAATGGGGTTGGTAAGAGGGGATTTCAATTTGAGATGGCATGGTTGTATGATGAGGGGTGTAGGGAGGTGGTTCAGCAGTCATGGCAGGAAGGACGGGGACAGGGTTTGCAGGGCTGTATTGAATACTGTGGAGATCGGTTAACACGATGGGGTGGAGACCGGTACCACAAATATGGCAAACAGATTAATGACCTAAACAAGGAGCAGCAACGGTTGAGGGGATGTACTGATCCGGCCTCACTTGCCGAGTTTCAGCGCTTAGAACAGCTTCTAAGTCGCACTGAAGCCCAGGAGGATGCTTACTGAAGGCAGAGAGCTAAGCAGCACTGGCTCAAGGAGGCCGACGCCAATACGAAGTTTTTCCACAGGTATGCTTCTCATCGTAAAAAGAAGAATACTATATCTAAATTAATGAATGATAGTGGGGACTGGGTGGAAGGGGAGCCTATGAGAAAGATTATTTATGAATACTTCAATCATACTTTCTGCTCTGAAAATACGGGATCTGGAGAGGGTTTCTTTGAAGGTATTGCCCCACGGGTAACTCAGGCACAGAATGAAACATTGCTCAGGCCCTTTGAATTGGAGGAGGTTAAAACTGCTTTGTTTGCAATGTTTCCAGACAAGGCTCCGGGGTCGGATGGAATGAATCCGGGCTTCTATCAGCATTTCTGGGATGTGGTAGGGGGTGATGTATCAAGTTTTGTGGTTGGCTGCCTAAATTCTCGAAATTTACCTCCTGATTTGAATAGTACAGATGTTGTTTTAATCCCGAAAAAGAATTCCCCTGAGTTAGTCACTGATCTGCGTCATATAGCTCTCAGTAATGTGATTTATAGGATTATGGCAAAAATAATTACTAATAGAATGAAGCCGTTGATGGAGATGATTATATCGGAGTCTCAAAGTGCCTTTATCCCTGATAGGCTAATCACAGATAATATCTTATTAGCTGCGGAGGTTGGACATTTTTTAAATCGAAAGCAGTGTGGTATGGTGGGGTGGAGTGCTCTTAAACTATATATGGCAAAGGCCTATGACCGGATGGAATGGCCTTTCCTTAGAAGCATGATGTTGGCATTGGGCTTTGATGAAAGATGGGTGGAGTTGATAATGAAGTGTGTAACTACTGTCTCGTATAACATATTGATAAATGGCTCCCGGAGTGACACCATTGTACCCTCGCGGGGTTTAAGGCAAGGAGACCCGTTGTCTCCATATCTATTCATTATTTGTGCAGAGAGACTTTCTCTACTATTGCAGCAGGCTCATAACTCAGGTTTGGTTCATGGTTTCAGAGTAGCGAGAGGTGCTCCGCCTATCTCTCATTTGTTTTTTGTTGATGACAGTCTTTTATTTTTTAAGGCTAATGTGGAGGAGGCTAATGAGATTAAACGATGCCTATCAGTTTATGAGAGTTTATCTGGGCAGGTGGTTAATTATTGGGAGTAGGGCAGGCTCCTAATTTTGGCAAGTATTTGGGTCTTCCCTCTTTTGTTGGAAGGAACAAAAAAGCAGCTTTCTCATATATTGAGGATAAAATACGCCAAAGGATTGGGTCGTGGAACAAGAGATTATTATCACAGGCAGGAAAGGAAATATTGTTGAAAAGTGTGGCACAAGCTATGCCTACCTTCTCAATGAGTGTCTTTTTACTACCAGAATCTGTGTGCACAGCAATTGAAAGGACTATGAATCGCTACTGGTGGGACTCTGGAACTGATAGGCGAATACATTGGAAGGCTTGGGATAAGTTATGTGTCCCAAAGAAATATGGAGGTTTGGGTTTTAAGGATTTACGTGCTTTTAACCTAGCAATGTTGGGGAAGCATGCATAGCGGATGCTTACTAAACCTGAGTCCCTAGTGGCTCGTGTATATAAGGCTCGCTATTATGCTAAGGGTTCATTTTTTGATGCACAGATAGGAAATAACCCCAGCTTCTGTTGGCGGAGTATTATGGCAGCTAAGAGTATAATTTGTAGTGGGGTAAGACGCGGAATTAGAAACGGGGAGTCTACACTCATATGCGCTCACCCCTGGTTACAGGATGATCACGACCCCATGATACAAACTGAGATGCCAATACAGTTGGAGGATGCCAAAGTGGTGGGATTGATAGATCAACAGACAGGTTCATGGGATCACTCAATTCTAACTGATTTGTTTCAACCTAATGATGTGGCAAATATTATAAAAATACCTGTCTCCCCGGAATATGATGATATGTGGTATTGGCATGGCGACCCGAGAGAAATTTATTCAGTAAAGTGCGGGTACAGGTTGATAGTTGGAAATTATGAAAGTGGTACCGGGACTTTTACGAAATGGCTGACCCTATGGAAACTCAAAATCCCCCGAAAGTGGAAGATGTTTCTGTGGAGAGCCATTTGTGATATTTTGCCAACTACTACTAACTTGCTTATAAAGAGGGTGGATGTGGATCCACAATGTGCCATGTGTGGAATATCTCAAGAGGACACTATCCATGCTTTAGTGTTGTGCGAATTTGCGAAGAACATTTGGGAACGATCCAACCTTCCAATCCCAAATATTGTGACAAATATTTTTCATATTTGGTTTGGTGAGCTTTTAAATGTTTTAGACTCTGATGGGATTGTGTATGCAGCATCAATTCTATACAATATTTGGAGAGCATGGAACGGGGCGGTTTGGAATGCATGTCTACCACACCCATCATCCTTGGTCACGGCGGCAAGGATTACCATGCAAGCACGGCAACCCGCTACTGCCCGAATTCGAACGGCGCCATCTACAGCATCACACCCCGTCTTCCGTGCTACACGGCCAGCACCGTCTCGAAGGATATGCCACGTCAACGCGGGATACGTGCATGGCTCGGGCAAGGCCACGGTTGGGGCTATTCTCCTAGACGTGGATGGGGGATACGTCTCGGCTCTTACTGCGCCTCTCCTGGATTGCTCCTCACCACTAATGGCCGAGACGCTGGCTTGCAAGGAAGCCTTATCATGGTTAAAGGATCGGGGGGAACAGCACATCAACATTTATACGGATTGTTTGACACTACAACGATATCTTACTACGCCACCTGCTGCGTTTCGCTCTTACGTCGGCTATGCCATTGACAGCTGCAGAGCAGCTGTGTCTTTATTTCAGTCTTGTTCAGTTAATTATATTACTAGATTAGACAATTATTTAGCTCATGCACTAGCTACTTCGACGTACCAGCAGCATACTGCTATGTATTGGGATGTTTACCTGCCTGACATTATTTCGACTTATTTCTAATAAAGCACCATATAATTTTCAAAAAAAAAAAAAAAAAGGAATGAATTCATAACAAGCTATTGAAATATTATAATTGACATTTTTACTGGCTAATTAATTAAGGTTTGTTCTGCTGGTAAACGACAAATTATATTAATCATCTCTACAAGATAGACTCGGTCAAAGTATCTATAATTTGACGTCTCTATACTAGGTTTTGTTCAATTTAGTCATTCTACCTTAATTTTGTTCAATTTAGTCCTTGTACTTTAAAAAGTGAAACAATTAAGAACATTAACTTATGTGGCGCTGACATTATCTCTGCCACGTCATCATACTTACATGTCAACTCATATATTATTTTATAAATATTTAAAATTAATTATTTTTACTACCAATATATAATATGTCCAAAATAAATTCATAAATATTTGGTCACATCAGCTATTGTCCTTAATTGTTTCAATTTTTGAAGTATAGGAACTAATATGAATAAAATTAAAGTACAGGGACCTTATAGGTACTTTGACCGATAGACTCATAATAAATGAGTTCCAGAAAATGAGTTGCATATGTTCTCATGTTTAGGAAAATAGATAACCTTGCAAAATTATGCCTACAAATTCTTAATGGATAGATGGGTGGAAATATTTCTATCGAATATTGTGATAGTCTCATGTGATTTTTTTATTATCTAATAATTCGAAATTATTTTCACTTCTCCTTTTGGGACAATCATGATTAAGTCACTCTTTAACAAAAAGCATAAACAGCAGCTCAAAAGGGACAAATCAACACAAGGATTAATTAGTCTTTTCTCATTCACTTTTAATTTGTTAGGAGTGGTTATTTTCTTTGCCATAAGGCCTTAGTTTTCAATAAATAATGCCCTCTGCATTGTATATATATTTGTATTGCTCACAACTTGGAGAAGGTTTAACATAATAGCTAGTAAGCTCTTGGTTGCTAAAATTTGTGAGTGTTTCCATAGCGCAGAGTGTCATTTAATTACTTTGAGAATGTAAAAGATATATAGGAGGATCTAAAGAACATATTCTCGCAAGGAGATGTCTATGGCACGGGATTTCAGAACTTCAAAAATCAAGACTAGATAAATAATCATAGACATGTGTTGAATAGTATGGAGTCAAAGCTAGGAAATTTATTGACATAGAATCGGAAGCCCGTGCTAGTACATGAGCCAAATGATTCGCTGACCTATTGACATGGCGAACTGTAACGTTCCATATGTCTCTAGCAATCTTATAATTAATTTGTCTCTTGATTTTCAGTTTCCTAGTTTTGAGAAAAGAATTAAGCTAATTAGTTCTTTCCTTTATTGATGTAGTTTGTATATATGCTATTGTAATCATGATTTGTTTTTAAGTTTTAAGAATTTTAGAACTTCTTCATGGTATAGGCCTTTGAACCCTAATCCATACCGATCAAATTTTATCTTGGCCTTCTTTTCTCAATTCTCGAGCCATGACAAACTTCTAACATCATGACATTAGAATTCTCGTAGGAGGCAATTTAGAAACTCAAAACCTTAGTGGTAGTGATTCCTCTCCTATTCTCATCACAAGAAACAAATTGAATGGCCAAAATTATTTTTATTGGTCACAATTTGTGATGTTGTTTATTTGTAGTAAGGGAAAGGATGGATATCTCACTTGAACAACAACCAACTCAATGACAACCTATCCAAATTTCATAAATTGAAAGATTAAAAATAGTATGATCATGTCATGGATTATCATCAATTCCATGAACAATTAATTAGGTGAAATTTTTTGCTATTTGAGATTGCAGAAGAAATATGGGATGCAACCCAGGAGACTCACTCTAGCTCTAAAAGTACTTTAGAATTGTTTGTAGCTGAATCAACATTCAATGGTTTATGCCAAGGATCGGAGAACAATATGTTACTCAGTATTACAACACTATCACACAATACTAGTAGCAACTTGATTTATTTGAGACTCACTCATGGAAATATCCAGAAGATGCAACAAAATACAAGCAGATTAAGGAACAAAAAAATTGTTCAAGTTTCTATTAGGACTTAACGGGGAGTTAGATGATGTTCGGGGTCGAACCATGGGGACTAAACCACTCCCAAATCTCAGGGAAGCTTTCTCAAAGGTTAGGCATGAAGAAAGTAGAAAGAAAATGATTTTCAATTTAATGTGTTACTAATTTAGCCATGAAGTAATAGCAATTGGCTCTTGATCTTCAATTTAATGTGTTACTAATTTTTTCCAAACTTGTGTGTTTTTCAAGAAGATGATTGACAGTGCTAGACTATGGTTCGGGTTCTATCGTTTCTCATGTTGTCAACCCTCAAATCAAGTTTCTCAAGCAAGTTGTGTCCAATCTCAGAGTATTTTAGAATCATTTTCTGTCTAATTATTCCATTGTCGATAAAGATAGTGAAATCATATTGTTACACTATCATCTTGGGCATCCTAGATTTCTATACCTTGCAGAATTTTTTCATACACTATTTATCAATAAAACTACAACACCTTTTCAATGTGAAATTTGTCATATTGCAAAACATGCTTGAACAATTTATCCTCAAATTCCATACAAACCTTCAACTACTTTTCCTTTGATTCGTAGTGATGCATGTAAGTTGGCACTTGATGGTGTCTGACATACGTTGATGATCATACGCGGGTAAGTTGGATTTTTTTCATGACAGAAAATTAAGTAGAAGGTTGGAAAAGTTTTGAAACCTTCAAAACCTTTTGGTTCAAAATCAATTTAACTCTAGCTAAGATTCAAACACTCATGTCAGATAATGCTAAAAGCATCTCCATTAGTGATTTTTGCTCAGTTTCTGTGGAGATCTAAACTTATGTGGAAAAGAGAGAGGAAGAAGAGAAAAGGATTTGAGGCTTCCTGCAAAGAGTTGGTTTTTATCATAATTGTGGGCCTTACTTGGTGAGAGAAAGGAGTTGTCATCGCCCGCGTATTGACTGCACAAATATGCGCCCAATTTGGCGCATGCACTACACGTACCAGACTGGGCGCGTAAAAGTGTCTTTTGTCATTTTTTTCTGCGGACACATTTATCAGACTTGTTTTTTGTTTTTGTTTTTTATTTCTTTTTCTCCTCATCTTCTCTCCTTTTTTGTAATTTAATTGGCACATAAAAATTCACATAAAACCTCATCCAGTGAGGATACTCTAACTAATACTTCATTAATAGTCTCAATACCTATCTATAGAATCATAGGATTATCCACATATATAAGCTTTTGTGTTGACAACCCCCAACATAATGGAGTGGTTGAATGCCGGAATGCAAGCATATACATCTCTTAGAGGTTACTCGGTGCTTTATGTTTTTCTCTAATGTTCTTAATTATTTCTAAGATGAACTCTGAAATCATTTTTCGAGTTTCTAAACGCACTCTTAATTTAATATTAATTATATTCTAGTAGACATAGTATCGCAATTGTTAGTGCAGTTACTTCTAGTCATCAAACTAACATTGAAGTAGTACACGTTTTATCTCTCAAATAATTAATCTAGCTATAATAATAGAGTTAGAGTGAAATTTTGGTATAAATTACCCGTAAAAGGTTCTTAGTTGGATTTAAATTAAAGTAACTCCGATCCAGCCAATCGCATTATATTGTTAGGAATTCCAGCCAACCGCGTTGTGCATGCAAGTGATCATTGAGGCATAGTGTTGGGTGTCCTCCTCCATTAGATACAAAAATTAAAGTAACTCCAAATTGTATAATTTTCATTATATTGTTTAATTATTATATTTGTTTCATTAATTATTATTTACGAATGGATCGGACTAACACGTACTATTAAACATTTAATTTTATATTGTAGAGATAGCGTTGTCCTTATCCTTAATCATTAGATGGAATGCCATACGTACTACTTAGTCAAATTAATCAACAAAAGTAAGAAGGAATAAGTAAACGTACGATGAGAAGACTTTCAAAAGAAGTTGACTTTGTGAATTGACTAGTTCATACGTATGTTAGTGGCAGGGAACAATTCAAGTTGACATAATTAAACGTACAGTTTGTCTCAACAGATCATATCAGACAACTAACAGTTGGATGGGCACAACTGCTTCTATATATACACACAGTTTCCCTTCCTCGCCATAGATCATATCATCACATATATCCATCCAAGCAACGTAAGCTAGCTGAATATGAAGGTAATTAATATGAAGATTGTTGGAGCATGCATGCATGTTTTTTTTTTTTTTTGGTTAACCCTAATGTAATAACAACGTAATATGTGTTTGGGTTTAGCCAATTTGAAGCATGTGCTCCATCTCAACTAAAAATCTAAGCTGATAATTGGATTGCACATTTATGTTTATGTTATATTATATGCTCAACACGCCTACGTCCGTGCATGCAGCAAAAGATAACAGTCAATTTAGCAGTGAATACGGAAAGATGTCGTCAAATGGCTATGAACATTGCAGTGTCTATTGCAGGTAATTATACATACCCAATTATTTACAACCTATAATAAAACTAAATTAACCCAAGAGCTAGTTACTCCGTACGTTACACTATTGATAATAGTTGCGAGTTTTATTCGTGAGCCAATAAAAAAATTAATTAATATTGAGAATTATGTAGTTTTATATATGTATGAATGCAGGGGTTATATCGGTGGATGTAGATAGGGATAAAAATGAAATGGAAGTGGTGGGAGTAGGGGTTGATTCGTATGCTTTGATGAAATGCCTAAAGAAGAAATTCAAGTGCGCCAGGATCTTGAGCATTCAAGAAGTCAAACCACCGGTCATCGATGACCCCCCAATCAAAACCCCATCGCCACCGCACTATTGCTGCGACCCATGCGGCGGCGGCGGCGGCGTTCAGTACTACCCGATATGCCAACCAGTTTACGACTACAATCCACCCGCAAGTTGCTCCGTTATGTAGTCATGCCTATTGCACCGCTCGCTTCCGTCTTTATTATGTTCATGATTTATAGATTCAATCATTATTGCGTGGAACATAGTTCACACAAGTTGTATGGACCATATTTTGTATACTGTAAAATAATGTATATTCAGTATAAAAATAATGTACATTATATTCAGGGAATGTACATTATTTTTGTACTGAGTGTAAGTTATATTGTATAATGTACCTACAATACAAAAATAATGTACATTTAATATATTAAAAATGTATTTTTTGTTATGATCCACATAACATTGTGTGAACTATGATCCACACAATAATTTGCCATTAGTGTTAACGGAGCGCGCATTTTTCTGTATGTTAATTACCAACTGATACTACAGTGTATCTAAATCGACACTGCCTCACGTATTATTTTTATATTATCAAATGAAACTGCAGTTATATCAAAATGATACTGTAGTTGTGGTGAAACTGCAGTGTATATAAAATGAAACTGAATAACATTTCACATATTTGAGTGTATATTGTACGATGAAGCTGTAATTATATCAAAATGATCATGTAGTTGTGTTTTAATAAAACTATATATAGTGTATATAAAATAAAATTAAATAACATTTTCACATATTTGAGTGTATAAATATCGAATGAAATTATAGTTGTGTTGAACTGAAAGTGCAGTGTATACAAAATGAAACTGAATAACATAGTTACTTTTTGCGGAAGGGTGCGAAACGGCACGAAACGGATGTCGTTTTTTTTTTTTCATTTAACAAAACGATGTTGTTTTGATGCACGGTGCATAATCGATTATGCATCGCGGTGCACGGTATAATTTGCCTTATTTTTTACATTCCAAACTCAAAACCATCTGGTGTAGTTTTAGCATTACTTTTGTGGACTTAGCCCATCCTCGGCGCTTAGTGATATGAACTTAGGCTTTGATACCAAAACTGATACGAACCGTTCAAATAAGATGGAGCATTGTTGGCCCTTAGGGTTGGAATTCAGCCTTTTGGAAGAAGATGGACCATTGTTTCAAGATAACTCTCAAATGCAATGATAGAAATGAAATCCTTTCTAAATATAAACTCTTTCTCTCATGCCAAACACTTTAATTAATGATGGCTAAAAATAATAAGACTAATTTGGGTCTAATTTAATCCCAAAATCAGCACTCCAACAATTATAAAAAGTCTTGAGTTCTTTTTTATCTTTTGCAATTGGGCTTGACTTGAATTTCCACCGTCTTTGAACATAACCAATGAAGATTTGTCTTAATTAATTGTTTGGACTTGGATCTTGTGTTTGAATGGACCACTATAATTCTTTCCTCCATCAAATAAACTTTTTATTGGACTCTATTGTTCCTTCCACCAATGAAACTTAAAGAATGTAGTGATGGACCTTAAAGAATCCACAATGGACAATGTGTATCACTTAGCCATTGTGATGTATGAACAATTAAGAAATACTGGTTAACCCAACTGTTGAAAGACAGAGCTAAACAAATGAACACACAATTGAAATATGGCTCTCAAACAAGAAGGAAAATTAGGAAAGAAAATGTTTCTATATTACTGCTTTCTAATGCACTGCATAAACAAAGAAATACTGCCTTTATATAGGCTACAACCAAATAGAAATCCTAACTACACAACAGGATTAAAAACAATAACAATCACAAAATAATAAACTACTCCATGATCCCATGATCCCATGATCCTATTTCCACTCCCCATGATGTCTGAACCAGTAGGACACTCACACTTGGTGCTGCAACATTTAACACTCCCCCTCAACACCAACAGTCTTATTCTTCACCACACCAAGTTTAATACTGAAATACTCAAACTTGCTGTTACTCAAGCTTTTTGTGAATATATCCGCAACTTGGCTTTCTGTTCCTACATGTATCAGCTCCACTTCTCCTTCAAGGACTTTTTCCCTAACAAAATGGTAGTGCACTTCGACATGCTTAGTTCTTGCATGAAACACGGGATTCTCTGCTAAGCATATCGCTGAGAAACTATCACAGTATAGAGGAACTGAACACTCTGTTGGTTGATGTAAATCCTTTAACAACTGTGTAAGCCAAGTGCACTCTTGTGCCGCCATCGCTGCAGCTCGATACTCTGATTCTGTGGTTGACAAAGACACTGTTGGCTGTCTTTTGCTACACCACGAAACCGCTCCAGACCCTAGCATAAATACATAGCCCGTAGTCGAACGTCGCGTATCACAGTCACCTGCATAATCAGCATCACAATAGCCAATTAATCTGCTAGCTCCATCTTTTCTGTACATAATACCATGACCAAGAGTACCCTTGACATATCTCAAGATCCTCCGGACTGCTTCCAAATGAGGCTTCCTCGGGTTTTGCATATATCTGCTCACCACTCCAACTGCAAACGAAAGATCGGGCCTCGTTAACGTAAGGTAGATTAGACTACCTACTAACTGTCGATACACTGAAGTATCATGCAAGTCTTTCCCTTCATGCGCACATAACTTGGCATTCATCTCCAATGGTGTTGGAATTAGTTTGCACCCAGACATGCCAAACTTTTCCAGCAAATCTCTAGAATATTTGTGTTGATGTAAAAATATCCCTTCTTCACTATGGTTTATTTCCAAGCCAAGAAAATGACTCAACAATCCAAGTTCCTTCATCTGGAAGCGCACTGACAGATTCTGTTTAGTTCTCACAATTTCTTCTTCATGATCACCAGTTAGAACTAAATCATCTACATAAACTAGAACAATAGCTAGCTTACCTTCTTCAATTTTGACAAACAAACTAGAGTCTGAAGGTGCCACGGAGTAACCACTATAAACAAGAAACTCAGCAATTTTTCCATACCAGGCTCTAGGGGCCTGTTTCAATCCGTACAGAGCTTTCCGAAGCTTGCAGACATATTCCGGATGAGTTTGACATTGGAAACCCATTGGCTGACACGTATAGATTTCTCGATCCAGTTCTCCATGCAAAAATGCATTTTTTACATCCATCTGCCAAAGATTCCAATTCTTAGTTGCTGCGAGTGCTAGTAACACTCGCACAGTTGTAAATTTTGCCACTGGACTAAATGTTTCACCATAATCCAGTTCATATTGCTGAGAAAATCCACGAGCTACTAAACGAGCTTTGTACCTCTCGATTGAACCATCGGCACGGCGTTTTATCTTATAAACCCATTTACATGAAATAGGCTTAACATCAGTTGGCTTCGCCACAAGCTCCCAAGTTTGGTTTTGCTCTAGTGCAACAATCTCTTCTTCCATTGCATTGATCCACTCTACCTTTTGAGATGCCTCATCAAAGGTTTCAGGTTCTTTTTCCTCTTCTACTATCGCAGCATTAGCATACTTAGGATTTGGCTTCCTGACTCTTGTCGACCTCCGTACCAGTGGCGATGTGTTCACATCATTGGAACCACCTTCTTCTTCTTGATGTTGATATACACCAGTTTGCCATGGATTTTGAACAGAGACAGTTCCAACACCTTCACTATCTGCTGCAATCTCATCGTTTTCTATAGTTAACTGGACTGTAGAAGGATGCGACCCCTCTTTCAAAACATTTGAGTCTGGTAACACTTCCTTTCTAGATGACCACCATGAAGAGGCTTCATCAAACACTACATTCCTTGATGTGTAACACTTATGTGTTGTTGGATCACAACATCGCCACCCCTTCCTTTGACTGTCATATCCTACAAAAATGCACCTAACAGCCTTCTTCTCCATCTTGCTCCGTAGATGGTCAGGAACAAAAACATAGCAAACACATCCAAATACTCGAAAATAGCCAACAGTAGGTTTCACATTCTTTAATTTTTCAAAAGGTGAAAGAAAGTTTAACCTCTGTTGAGGAAGTCTGTTGATCACAAAAGCAGCAGTTTTCATCGCCTCTGCCCAAAAGCAACCAGGAACATTCTTAGCATGAAGCATGCTACGACAAGCTTCTGCTAAGTGCCTATTCTTCCTCTCTGCAACGCCATTTTGTTGTGGCGTGCCTGAACACGTGAATTGATGACTTATTCTCCAACTATGAAGAAAATCTGAGAACTCATATGAGGTATATTCTCCCCCATTGTCAGTTCGTAGGCAACAAACATTACTGCCAACCTCTGTTTCTGCTTCACTCTTAAATATTTTGAATTTTGACAAAACTTTAGATTTTTCCTTCATAAAATATACCCACACATACCTCGAAAAATCATCAATGAAGGTGACCATATACTTCAACCCGCCAAAAGACGATTGCTTGACCGGCCCAAACACATCAGAGTGTATCAACTCTAATGATTTCTTTGCTCTGTATTTGGACTCTTCAAAGGGAAGCTGGTGTGCCTTTCCATATTGACATCCTGCGCAAACAATGTTAGACCGCACTTCAAGTTGGGGTAAACCTTTTAGCATTGACTTTCGCATAATCATGTCTAGCTTAGAATAGCTAACATGACTAAGCCTCATATGCCATAAGTCAACAGTCTCATTCCTCCTTGTCTTGTCTACAAATGCAGCTTCTGCAGACATCACGTAGATTGACTCTAGTCTTTTCCCTGTCAATATAGGCTTTGCACTAATCTCAAGGCCTCGATACACTTTCACATCTTGTGGACCAAATAGGACAAAGTGACCAGAAGATGTTAATTGTGATACTGAGAGGAGATTTTTCTTCATACCTGGAACATGATAGACATCCTGCAGTGGTACATCCACTTCACCACATTGAGGAGAAACTACTACATTGCCGACATGGGCTATCGGCAATTTAGAATTGTCCGCTGTTACTACCACACGACTCCCTTTGTACTCTGCTAAATTTTGCAACATTTTCATGTCACCAGTCATGTGGTTAGAACAACCTGAATCAACAATCCAGTCATTTCCATAATCAATATGCTTAACAGTCGTCATAGTTAAGGCTAGTTCTTCCCCATCTGCAGCGAATAACGCCTCGGCATCCCATTCCTCTTCAACTTTGGACGTGGCAACATTAC